CCCTTGAGACAGTTTCTCTTGAAGCATAAACATTGAAAACATTTCCCTTGAAATGTATTTTGTCTAGTTTCCCTTGAAACAAAATTTTGTCTCCCTTGAGACGATGTCTCTTGAAACATAAACATTGAAAATATTTCCCTTGAAATGAATTTTGTCTCTCTTGAGATAGTTTCCCTTGAAACAAAATTTTATCTCCATTGAGACAGTTTCTTTTAAAACATAAACATTGAAAACATTTCTCTTGAAATGAATTTTGTCTAGTTTCCCTTGAAACAAAATTTTGTCTTCCTTGAGACAGTTTCTCTTGAAACATAAACATTGAAAACATTTCTCTTGAAATGAATTTTGTCTAGTTTCCCTTGAAACAAAATTTTGTCTCCCTTGAAACAAAATTTTGTCTCCCTTGAGATAGTTTCTCTTGAAGCATAAACATTGAAAACATTTCCCTTGAAAATGAATTTTGTCTCTCTTGAAATAGTTTCCCTTGAAACAAAATTTTGTCTCCCTTGAGACAGTTTCTCTTGAAACATAAACTTTGAAAACATTTCCCTTGAAATGAATTTTGTCTCCCTTGAGACAGTTTCTCTCGAAACATAAACTTTGAAAACGTTACCCTTGAAACAGAATTTTGTTTCACTTGGGATAGTTTCTCTTGAAACATAAACTTTGAAAACGTTTCCCTTGAAACACAAAATACTTGAATCAGTTCCCCTAAAAACGTGTTTTGAGATGGTTCCCTTGAAACACCAACCTTTGAGATTGTTTCCCTTGAAACAAATTTCGTCTCGCTTGAGACAATTTTCCCTTGAAACAAGAAATTTTATCTCACTCGAGAAAGCTTTTCTTAAAACATATTTCTTATTCATTTTCATCCAGATGTTGAATATTTGAAAGGAATTCCAAAGTTAGCAGAGGTTTCATTACACAATTCCATGTTGAAGTAGAAGTTCTCGGCAAAAAATCAATTCACGTCTTCATTCTTGAAAAAGTGGATCTCAACAAAGATTCGAGAACATTCGGGCCAATACCTTCGGCTACTTCAAACACAGTTATTGCTGACACATGATTCATAATGAAGAAGATTGTTCAAGTTTTGCTTGATTCCATCATCGAAGGAGTTGGATCAACATCAACTTCTTGCTCGATTCATCACATATGGAGTTGAATCAGTAACACCTCTCTTGAGGGATCAATATTTCTGGAAGAAAGACCACAATGAGAAAAAATTATGACTTGAAGAACTGAAGACGAAGACTTAACCAAGGGAACGAAAAAAAGATGACATCATTTGCAGCAAAACATCCGCGATTTCAACTCCATGACGGAGGATATCGTGTCATTTTGAGGCTCAACTTCACGACGAAGGGGCTTCCCAGTTTCAGATCCAATTTCAACTTCACAACGAATGATATTGGACTCCAGACAACGCAAGTTCAACTTCACGACGAATAGACCGCTGGTTGTCAATAAATAATTTCCCAATTTCAGAGCCAATTTCAACTTCACAGCGAAGGATATTGGACTCAAGACATCACAAGCTCAACTTCACAGAGAAGGGGCGGCTGACTGTAAACAAACAATTTCCCAGTTCCAGAACCAATTTCAACTTCACAACGGAGGATATTGGACTCGGAACAATACTTGGATTTCAACTTCATGACGAAGGCTATTCGATTCTCAGGCTCAACTTCACGGCGAAGGGGCTATATACAAGTCCAACTTCACAAACGGATTGACCCAACTTCACGACGAGAGAGTCATCTGTAACACCACAACACCAAAGTCTTCAGGTCAAGTTTCACCTTCGCGACGAAGCATCTTGAGCCAGAAGACGATTCAGAGGCCACTTGCCAAAAGCTCTGAGTTCGATTTCAACTTCACGACGAAGGATTTCGTGCTCAGAATTTTTCAGTTTGAACTAAACCTCACGGCGAAGGAGTCATTTTATGATTTAAATTGACAAACCAGCCTTACATCGAATTTTAACTCTACGAAGGAAGATATTTGATCTGGCCGAAATTCGTGTCTTTTAATCTTTGCTCCATTTTCGTTACACGATAATAAGCAAAGAGGGGCAGCTGAAGACGCTTAATTTCATCCATGCTCATCTAATTAGTATTACATATATATATATACATTATTGTTTTTACACATATATTATTATTATTTTTACATTGTGACAGACCCAAATAAAATAGCCCAACAAAGTAATCTGGTCCAATAGTGACCCAAAGTATAGGAGATTAGGGTTTCCAGAACCCTCCTTCATTCGTTTCATCCAGCGCCGCAATGAGGGGAACCCATCCAGCCGAGGATTCTCGCCACACACGCCTTCAACACCACCCGATTCTCTCGGTCACAGACAATGACGTGGGTCACAAGGATTCATCCATAACCAACAACGAGTGTTAGAGTCCGAATGAAATTCTAAAATTAGAGTCTAAGAATAGTTTTTTTCTTTATTATAAATATGCTTGTAATCAAACTGATTAGATACGAAGGATTTTCATACTTAATACAAGCACCAGTTATATTAAAGATATGAGCAGTGTCATTCGAAGCATTATTTTTATTTTCAAAAGCGAAGTAAAGGAAAAAATCTCACCTTTTCGTCTGTTGATGTTTGCATGTGGGAGTAATCTTTGCTTGTCCGACGTTTTGGTTCGAATGTAACAAAAAAATTGAGATTTCTTTTTCAGATCTACGTTTCCTCGGAGATTTTTTGCAAAAACGATTTCGATATTTGAAGAGAGGGAAGGAAACTCTTTTAAAAAATACAATTTTTTTTTACTTTTGCGGCCGGCGCCGATCAACGGCGAGGCGGTACTGCGGTGGTCGGATTCTGGGTTCATCAAGAACCCAGGCGACCGTTCATCCTTGGATGAACACAGAAGAAAGAAATGAATGCAAAAGGGGGGGTACACGGTTTGCAAATAAGAGAAGTGAGAAACTTAAAAATGTTTTAAGTTTATAGCAGGCCCGAATTCGTCCATGACCCGACCCATAGCACTCTGACCCGAGTATTTTTAAGCATAAAAGGGTAAATGCAGTTTTTGGTCCTTCCTTGTTTGAATCCTCCCATTTTTTACCCATAGCTTTAGCCCTTTACACCGATTTGCTTCTAATTTCACCCTTCATTTCACCATTTTTCCAATTTAGTCTTTTATGGGTAATAATTATATTTTATTATTTTATTTCCCTATAATTATTATAATGTTTTTAATATTTAATTACATTTGTACCTATACGTGGATTATTATCATATATGCATTTTTTTATCTTATTTAAGTATCATATTTTATTATTTTATACGTATTTTTATTTCTCTTGTTTTTTTAATATTAATATCAATATTTGTATATATATTATATTTGTTTTTTGTATATCTATTTTATTTATTTACATGATTTTATTTTCTTGCTTTTATTTCTCTGTCATGTATATATTATGCTTACTATTATATTCCTTTTTATATATTCTTATTTTTATTTTCATTTCTATTTCTCTCTGTCCTCATTTTTTTCCCTTTATATTTGTTCAATTAAATCTAACATTCTTTTTTGAGAGTACGATATCAAATTCATCAAAGGTAAGTAATTTGGCTCGTTATTTTACCTTTTTATTTAAAGTTATAACTTTCTTAATTTAAAGACAACTAGAAGTTATGAAGTATCGAAAGGGCAGTTCAAGGGTGCTAACCCTTCCTTGACTGTAACCGACTCCCGAATCCGACATATCTTTGGTAAGACACAGATCAGATAAGAAATAAGGTATCCAATCAACCTATTTATTTTTAAATAAATGATCGGTGGCGACTCCAATTCATTTTTTTCAAGTCGAAGCCTAATTCTGGGGCCCAACCGAAAGACGATTGTGACAATATGTATGTTGTAATAATAGAATTTTCAACTTATTTGATTAAGAATATAGGGGCCTCCGTTTATCAAGATCTTTAATGGAATTTTTCTATTTATCGAGGCTTCTAGAACTTCATATCCTTAAGATTATAATAATCTTTTGGTGGAATTATTGATAGGTTTGTGAGATATACTACAATTAAATTTATTTTCAGACGATTAATTTTTTTTCAAATTTATATATCTACAAATAGTACTCATGATTCAAGTCTAACATCAACTCATTGGGCGTAAACAAATTGGGCTCAAACGATTAGGCTGTAGTTATATTCCTTTGTTTATTTTTAAACTGTTCATGTTTAGTTCGTTTAATATTTACGAACATGTTCGTTTAGTCTTCACTAACATGTTATTGTATGTGTTCAGAAAAATGATATAATTACACCACTAGTCCTTAAGCTTTTTAGACTTCATAATTTGAACTATAATATTTAATTTGTGCTCAATTTAGTTCCATCACCAATATTTAAAATATAAAAAATAAAAAGAGAACGAGAACTTAGTAATAAAACCAATAAAAGAACATAAACGAATTGAACACACCTATGTTCATGTTTGTTTGTACTCGTTTATTTAACTTAATAAACTAACATTATACAAATAGTTCATCGAACACTTTATTCATTTACGCTCCTACTTATATTAGTAATAAAACCAACTTATGCTACAAGTGTGTAGCCGGTTAATAATTAAACGATAAATAAGTAATATAAGAAAACGGTTTCCAGTGTAAAGCATATCCAATATTGATAATTACTTGATCTAACAGTTACTAAGTTATTTGGACTTACATTTAAATTTATTAATATACAACGTCTTTGTAACTTCCGTTGTAGTCTAGTTGGTTAGGATACTCGGCTCTCACCCGAGAGACCCGGGTTCAAGTCCCGGCAACGGAATCTTTTTCTTTTCACTTTTTCTGCCTTGGTTGTTGATTAAGAATTGGCTACAATAAATCGTGCTGTTGTGATTAATAATAAAAAAAATCACGTAACAACATTATAAAGCCACTGCTAAAAATTACAAGAATAAACAAGTTTTTTTTGTTTTATATCATAACAACAAAACTTCTTGTTGCGATATCTTCCTGTAAATACATAAGAACTGATGACAACTAGAGTTTGTTCAAATCCATTTGCCTGTAAAAATAAAAAAGAAAAGAAAGCATGCAACAATGTCTAAAATGGTTTAGATGGCAGTTTCTTATTGGCCAAGAAATGCCTGACCAGTTGAAGTGCCTGTGTGGGTTTATAAGTTGGAACTTGATGACCAGCTCCTCGTATGGTCACAAACATAAGCCCTTCGTATTCAATCGTCCACCCACCAACCTGTTTGTGGTTGGTGTACCAAGGTGTCCATTCTTGTTTTGTTTTCAACCCTAGCTTGTTTAGGGTTAATCTGGTTGCAGTCACCGGAATTCTCCCGTCGTTATCTCCACTACGAGTAAAAATCCATGTATTCATTTTATCATCTTATGTCTTGTAATCATGCCGTATATGATGTTGTAAGGTGTTTACCTGAAAACCCAAACGCGGATGCCGCCGGCTATGAGCTTTTTGATTGTGGGAAGCATGGAAGATGGTGCATCTCCCCAGAGTTGTATAAGGTCACTGCAAAGACAATGAAAGACAACCTCAAGTTGATTGTACTTCTATCACGTCTCGGAAAGATGAAGAACAATAATCTATATCAAAAAGAAAAACAAAGAGAACCTAGAATTTATAAGTGTTGTACATCCTATTAGAACGATCCTTTAATTGTTAGATTTCATATCAAATTTCTCAGCGAATAGTGTAGGTAGGGTGGACAATTAATCGTGACGAGGACATCACAAGATTTAGTAGGAGAGAATATCATATCTTGAAGAGGTGAGGGACATTAATCTCACATCGAGAGAAAAAGAAGAGAGATCCTAAAATTTATAGACGATGATTCTATACATCTTATCAGACCTCTCTTTTAAAAAAAGAGTAATAATCCCATAACACTTTCACGTGATGATTTGTTGATAATGTCCTAAAACAGACATTAATGTTTCAATAACTGTGGGTTTAAATTTAGTTAATTAGTACCTGCAATGAGTCCATGGATAGGACATGTTGGTAACGTTAGCATGAAGTGCTTTTTGAACATCGGGCCTGTTGAAATAAACCTCGGTGTAGTCCGATAGACAAGGGTCGTACCCCGCTGGTGTCCTGTGCCATCCGTCCTGGAAAATGTCGGATTAATTAAGCATAGATCGGAGAATCTCTGTTTTTTTTATGTTACTTAGACTCGAGTATAAGAAATAACTTACGAATCTAGAAAATAACTGTGGGGCGATGCCTTGAATCACCGGCCGTTGTCGTCGATTGTTACTGGTGCTGGAGTTACTAACACAAGTGGGAGAATACAAGCTGTACATATCGATGATTTTATAGACGTCGAAGTAGTCGTTGAGGGCTTTGTCGCAGTCGCCGTTGGGCTTCGGAGTGCTGAAATTACATTTGAGTTTGATGTTGTTGTAAACTTCATCGGAGATCACTGCATGATCCCATGCATAATCCACCATTCCTTTTTGATCCGTTTCATCGTCCATCAATGCATTCCCAATCTGCATAAAGTCTATTAGTATAAGAAATACCGTAGGCGTAGCACTCAAATATTATATCTTAAAAATAATTATATAAATTAATTGAATTAAATTTAAAATTAATTTTTTACACACATTATATATATATAAATATATATAAATATATATATATATTAAAAGTCAAATCCTCTTTTGTGGTCAAAAGTTAAAAGTCAAAATCCTCTTTTGTGGTCAAAAATTAAGGCACAAGCTAAGGTAATAAATGATAGCATGCATTATGAAGTAACTTGACATGTTATATATAATTTTTTTTATCTCGATTAAAATATGATACTATTATTATTATTATATTTTAAAAATAGTATATTTAAATATAACTATTTCCAATTTAAGAGATTTTTTAATAGGGATAACGTAATTTTTGATCTTAAATTTAATTTTTTTTCTCTCAATTTGATCCTTGAATTCTCTTTTTGTTTATATTAATCATTAAACTTAGAACTTTGATTAGTTTGAGATCATCAAAGAGTTTAGAAAAAATAAGAAAATTACCAAATTCAAGATTAATATGAAAAGAATTATTAAATTTAAGGATTTAAAATTATTTTGGATCTAATTACAGAAAAGAATGTTAGTGTCATTAAATCCTTACCATAATTCCCTTAAAATTAATGTAATCCCACTTGGAAGCATGCATGTTATTGTCAATAATCAGCTCAGCTAGCTGGGGGACATAGTGCCCTAAACATAAAGGGAGTATTAGCATAATAATCACATCGAATTCGAATAATGAATATCGAATACAAATATATGTTTAAAATATCAAATATTAATATATACCAGCATAGCTTTCACCAGCAATGTAGAAGTCATGGGACTTGAACTGTGGGAATCTGTTGAACCAATTGACTAGAAACGTGTAGGAATCCTCAGCTAACGGTACAAAGAAAAACAAGAAGATATTAATGATTAGGAAATTATATAATAAATTTTGAAAATTCAATTTTTTACCTGTGATTTTATCACCAAGCTGATTGATATCACTTCTTGTGTTGGTATAAGAAAACCCAACACCAACGGGGGATTCAACGAACAATAAATTGGCAGCTGGTTGAGATAATAAAATCGATACAAAAACAATCGAATTAGACTCAGTCGATTCCTGATGTTATAAGAATTGGATCAATAGTTGAATCAACCGTATCATTAAATTTCGGTTTGGTTGATTCAATTATCAAGCCGGTTTTTACCACGATTTTTATTTGTTTTAACAGTTGATCATAATATTTCACTTATATCTAGCTTGATACAATTGATTTAACCAATAGAACCATTAACTCTCAATTCAATCGATCGGTTCAATTTTGAAAATAATATCAATTCTAATTTGACTTCAAAATTCAACTCAATTAGATTCACTTTAAATTCAACCAACTTGAATTGACCTTAACACAAAGAAAAGCTGAGACTCGAAATGAGTCAATTCTAAAATTGATGCAAATCAGAATGATAAAAACTTTTAAAATTTAAAATGATCCGATCTGATTTGACTCGATTTGTCGTTAACAAATGTCAAATATATATATATATATATATCCGATGTATTTTTCGATTTTACATACCTTTGTTCCATCTATGAGGGTTAAGCTTTAGGGTCTGTTCATCTTTCTGAGGGAAGAAGGGCCCCAGCTCCTCAGCTAGTCCATATCCAACGGATGAACATCCAGGACCTGAAATTTTAATTAATTTACGAAACAATCATGGATGAAAAAGAAAATGAAGGGTGGTTTTAAAAATTCGGTACAAGTCATAATAATAGGGTTGTTGGATCTAAACAATATTCAAAGAAATAAATGATTGTTTGGTTTGACAGCATGGGAGTTATACCTACATGTTATATAGGGCAACTACATATTTAGTACTTAAATTATTACTTTTGTTTTATTTGGTACTCAAACTTTATTTATTTTGAAAATTGTACTTAACATTTAGTTTCATTTTTATACTCCGCTGTTAAAATTTTAACATAAATGCTAACGTGACATTTTCTAATTTTTTTCAATGATGACCTGAGATTATTTTATGGAGACACGTCAACAGTTTTGTTATGTTTTTAATGGCGGATTATCAAAATAACACATATACTAAACATCAGGTATACTTTTGGAAAAAAAAAATTGGGATACTAAAACAGAACAAAAGTAATAGTTTAAGTACTAAATGTGTAGTTTATTCTATTATTTATTATTATTATTATAGATAATTATAGAATATAAAACGAATAAATTCTTCTTCTTCACGAATAATTTTAATCTATTATCATATATTTTAATTAATATATATTAAAACAAATAATGAATTAAAATCACTTCAAAAAAATAAAAGTATATTATTATATTAGATATTTGAACTGGACTAGTTATATATTCTTTTTTATTTCATATTTTATAGTAATATGTTTTCTTATTGAAATTAAAAGTAAAGAAACAAATCAAAATCATTATAACGTAAGATCATGTTTTTTCATGACAATTTTTATTAGTGTTGACCGTTCATGATGATGTTCAATTCCAAGACAAAAAACCAAACTTGAATTTCAAGATGCTCTTTTTTATTATTATTTAAGTTGAATTATAAATATAAATTTCTGGGGGGAAATTCGACCCTCGAACAAAGAGTACAAGAGAATGGAATTTTCTCTGACACTAATATTTTTGAGTTAGAAATTCAAAATTTTCATCATTCTCTCATATGAAAAGGGGACCAATTTGAATAAAAAACAAAATGTGTAAAAAGGTTGAAAATGACAATTCAGTCCCATATGAATAAATAGCCAAAAGAAAATTTAGATGATATGGGTAAAGGCATGCCCCACCATTATTACATGAAAAGGATGGGTTAATATCATTTATTGTTATTTTCACGATTAATTAGATCGATTTGATTAAAAATTAAAAAAATATTAAAAAAATTTATTTAATATAATTTATCTTAACGTGTTGTTCGGTTTTGGTTATTTAACTATTCATAAATACGTGTTGTTCGGTTTTGGTCACACATATTTTATTTTGACGTAATAATATTTTTAGTTTTTTAATGATAACATGACATTATTTTATAGTGACACATCAGTTTTATCGTTAATTTTTAACAATAATGATCGAAACGTAACGTTAGATATGATTTTTTAAAAAAAATAATTTAATGACCAAAATAGAACCACAAAAATAGATAAATAAGATAATAGGTATCTAAGGTAAGGATAAATTTTGATAAGGGGAAATTAATGACATGAATAAGATTTACCTCCATTGAGCCACAGCAGGAGAGGGCGTTTCTCAGGTTTGCTCGTGGCTTCAAAGAACCAATAAAACAGGGCTCGACCGTGACTCTCGTTCACCGTAACGTACCCTGCATAGTGCTCGAACTCCACCGGCGGCTGACCCGGAAGCTCCGCCACCCTATCAGCTTCTTGCCGAAGGTGGCTTCGCTCACCGCCGTGCCTAGACCCTTCACTGCTTACACTGATCAAAACCAAAACAAAACACACACTAACCGCTGAACCGGAAGCCATTAGAGACCTCCCTTTCCTCTCTGCAAACTGCGCGGTATTAAGATGTGTGTTTATATATATATATAATATATATATAAATATATAGGAAAAGAGATATTGTGATGATCAAAGACAGGTAAGAATCATCTGGAATTAGTTAATATTTAAATAGGATCTTTAGGTTATTTTTGCTGGAACTGGAAGTATATCTGCGTGAGTAATAAAAATATTTGTTGCTTAGACGGGAATCTGGGAGTATATAGATACAACCCAGAATGGATGGGATTATCGGTGAGAGAGAGAAGGGGTCGGTTTTTTTGGTCAATTGCTTTCTATTTCAACATTTGACAACCTTATTCCACTTGCATATAATATATAAAGTATCTTGATTGAATATTAATTTCATCTAAGATTTTTACATTTTACGAATTTAAATGTGCTTCAATATAATTATCTTTAATTTAAAGATTTAAGAAAATCAAGAGAAAACCTATTTAAAATAACATTTTCTTTAAAGATTTTAAATTCAAGCAACTATGTCTGAATGTGTGTATATTGTTAATAATTAAGAAATATTTTGAATATATAATACCTTATAATTATCTTAAATTATTAAAAAATTAAAAAGAAAGTTTTATGATAGAATATAATTTTTTAAAAATAAAAAATAAATTTTATAATGTTTATTTATGATAAAATATAAATTTTAAATAATATAAAATTAAATAAATATATATTATAAATCATTTATGATAGAATAGAATAAAAATTTTATTTATATTTAATCTCTTAATTTTTTTCTTTTAATTCACCGTCAATCCCTTTTTCTTTCTTTCACTCTTTTTCTCCTCTTATGCTCAAAATATCTACATCGATTTGATCGCAAATAATTTAATTACAAATGATTTCTATTTCACATATTTATTTTATAAATCTCTTTTATTTACAAATCAAGGATTTTAGTTTTCTTTGTGCAATGTCTCTTTAATTTCTTACAAAAATGGTTCAAGTTTTTATCTTATTTTGTACAAATTTTTATATTGTTTTCTAAGTTTTTTTCCTTTCAGTGTTATTTTTTCGTCACTTTTCGAATTATTAATGGATGTTCAATTATTTTTCAGAATATTTATTTTGAATCATTAAGTCAAACTATATAATTGTTATATTGTAAACAAAAATATATTTAAATTAATCTCTGGTTGAAATTAATTATTAAAGGAAAAGTTGTTAAGGTTAAGAGGGATCAAAACCAGATCCTAAGGATAAAGGTCCAACATCTAATTGATGGGCCAAGTCATGTAATTATTAAAATATAAACATATTTTAATAAATGGTAAAGAAAATAATAATATTAAAATAAAATTTATTTATTTTAACTCAAATTATACGTGACATGAATACAAAAAATAATAACAACGCATCAACATTAATATATAGGTATAATTTAAAAAAAAATACTATAAACCTACGTTTCAATTTAAGGTATAAATGTATCTAATGTTTGATTAAATAATAGAATATTATTACACCTAACATTTCATTTTAAAAAAAAAAGACATTTTTTAGAGAGCTGACATTTTGTTAACTAACATTTTCAACCACGAATGATCATTTTGTCCTAAAATAAAAAATTAGAGACCAATATATTTAAGAAAAAAAAAGAATTTGAGTAAAAACGACTATTTAATCAAATGCTATGACATATTTTGTCATTAGATTAGGATCTACTTACACAATATAAAACTCTTTTAGTTTTACACAATTTAAGACCTTTGGATGAGTGAGATTGACCCCTTATTTTTCTCCAGTAAATATCTTCTTACTTACTATTGTTAATCACAATCATATATTTTCACTGATATCATCAACAAAGATAATCTTACCAAGATCTAATTGCTGACCATTCATAGAAAAAATTCTTAACGTTCTACATACTATGAAGTATAAAACACAGATTACCACGCATCATAAAATTTCATTGGTAGTACATAGTTGTAATCAAAACACTACTCTTAACCCAAAAATAGATCTGTACAAGTGGACAAGTCCATGTATCTAGATGTTACAGACGAACATTTGGCATCTGTTAACCTATACTCCAAGATATGCTCAAAATTTTAGAAGCTGGAAAATTAAATCTTTGCATCATATGCATCGAATATAAATGCATAAAACCAATAATAAAAGTAAAAGAAAAAAGAAAAATTCTGATAGCACGAACTTAATCGAGTTATGAAGATGTATGACTAAGGTAAATAAGTTGGGTTTTATACAGAGTTAGTGTTCCTCTATGACTATATGCACACTCATAGAACATGTTTCGATTCAAACACGAGGATTTTATAACATCATTTTGTGTTACGTCGAATAAAGATAGAATAAAATTGATTGAATATACTTTTATCTCGCGTGGTACAAAAAGTTAATTAGGAAAAAATATTAAATTAATAAATAACTTTTTAAGGATGTTTTGAGATAAAAAGCCAAATTTTAATATAAAATTTTCAATTTTAAGAAAATAAAATAAAAATGGAGCAATGTAGCATTCAATTTTACTCGTATATACCTCAAGTAACTAATTCCAGGTATTTTGTAGTTCAAAAATTATACAATTAATATCAAACATGCAATCCGAAAATGGCCAAAAAAGGAAGGGAAAAATGCTAGGTAACAGAAATTGTGTCCAAGAGAGAATCAACATACTCTTTAAGCTTGGCCTTTGTAATCGCGCCTTCTCTCCTACTTTCTGCCACTTCCTGCCCATCCTTGAACAATATCAATGTCGGCAATCCGTAAACTTTGTATTCTTCAATCAACTGTGGATTCGCATCATGATCAATTTTCACAACCTCTAATCTATCTCCGTATTCCTAAATACATTATTAATCAGTCAATAATTACTCATTCAACAAGCTCAATTTCTTAATTAAAGGTATAAGTATGTTATTTCGAGAGGAAAAAAAAGAAGTACAAAATAGGCACCTGTGCGATGGATTCCATGGCGGGAGAGATTAAGCGGCAAGGTCCACACCAAATGGCAACGAACTCAACGAGAACCGGACGGCTGGATTCCAGCACCGTACTCCGAAACTCGCTCTCTTTAATTTCCTTAACACCGGCACCGCACTGAATCGAGAATTTAGGAGCCGTGGAGGAAGTAAGCGGCCGTAGGAGCGGGAGGTAGTTCTTCGGAAGCCGCCGTTGATGGGAGGAGTGGAAGAGAAGGTTGCGACGGCGGAATGGAGCTTCGAAGGGGAAGCAATTGTACGAACCGGAGAGAGGGATGACCGGGCCACCATAGACGGCGAACTTGAGAGAAGCGTGTCCATTTTTTACGGCTGGTGTTTAATTGTGAGGATTGAGGAAGATAAAACTGAGAGATCACAGCATTTTTATTTTATTTTTAAAAATTATTTTTTTATTAATTTATTTATGTATTTTGAGTGATGGAGAAATCAAATCAGAGCTTATATATATTCTTTTCCAGCTTGACTGGAACGACAATGGCTCAACCTTAAAGGTTTCTCACGTGAACACCACGTGATTGATACCCCACTCTTCCTTTTGTTTTATCTCAAATTATTAGTTCCCCCTAATTTTTTGTTGTTGGGCTTTTATATTTAGAGATTTCGAAGTCCATATAAGAATTTAAGGAAAATTACGGTGGAGATCTTTTTTGTTTGTATTTTTTTATTTTAATCATCAAATTTTAAATAGTAATGTTTTGCTTGTTTATGTTATTGATATATTATAGTTTGAACATTGAGTAGATAATTTTTATTATATTGATAATTGATATCTAAATTTTAAATAAAATATCAAATTAACGAAGAAAAAATGTTATCATTTTATTATATTAATGATATATTGTCATTGATCGCCTGATCAAGTTCTACTCAAATTATATTCTTTTTATAATATCTTCATCATCTGACTGTTCAGATTCACAATCATGTCCCTAAATTTGAAGACCTCGACGAACTAAAAACGATAAGTCATTTCTTTTTCATTTTGTTTCTTTTCTCTTATGGATTTTGTGTAGGTCTGAGTTTTAAATTATCATGGTTATTTTGTTTTTGAAAATTAATATTTTTTTAAAAAAAAAAGTTGAGAATGAGTATTGGTGTTAAGTTTATGAGGTATTTTGAGTTACAATTAAACAAATGATAATCGATAGCATGATTGATGATAGTATAAAAATGAAAATGAACGAAAAGAATTGAATATTGATTATGATATAAAAACTAAAAGCGACCATGGTCAACTCTTCCGAGAATCTCGTTTCTTCTGCTTTCATTGATCAATTCAGCGACCATGGTGGTCGGTCGCTTGATGGAGTCGAACTGACAGACCCACCACTTCAACATTCTTTAGATCATCACGGCGGAAATGATGTTGATTCCACCATGGGTGATCATGTGGATGTTAGATCAGAGAACTTGGGGCAAGGAATTGGAGCGTTCAAAAGTTGTCATCTCTCTTTTCGCGATATGGTAAGGGGTCCAAAACTGGTTGGTAACCAACCCATTTCGTTTAATGATTTCGATGAGGATGTTCACCCTAAAGATGTAGTTTTGGGTGTTGATGGCCCTTTACCTACGATTAGCTTTTCAGATAGAGTTCACGATGCTATTGATGCCAAGCTGGCTAATTCTGTGATTATTCGATTACTGGGGAAAACAATTGGGTATAAGGCCTTATTGAGTAGATCAAATCACTATGGATTTTTTTAGGGGAAATTAGTCTCTTTGATCTTGACAATGATTATTATCTTGTTCGCTTTGCTTGTGAGGAGGATTTTTCTCATGTATTGACAGAGGTCCTTGGATGATATATGAAGCTACCTCACAGTTCAACCGTAGTAGACAATTCTCTATAGCCATGGAACATCCAATGAAGATTATGGTGTGGGTGAGGCTTTCTGGTTTGCCTTATCACTATTATACACGTAGTCTCTTTGGAGATATTGCAGGAGCTATTGGTAAGGTAGTAAGGGTAGACTATAATACGAAGGATGGGAAGAGAGGTCTCCTTGCACGCC